GCATGAAGTACTTTTTTGTTTGGTTTTGTGACTGTGCCTGTGTGTGTGTTTGTGCATGTGTATGTGGGCTTCTGTGTGTGTACGTGTGCACGTGTGTGTCTGTATATGTGTATTTCTGTGTGTGCTCATGTGTCTGTGTGTTTGTGTGTGTGTGCGCGCGCACATTCTCTCTCTCTCTCTCTCTCTCTCTCTCTCTCCCTCTCTCTCCCCCACTCCATCTCCCTCCCTCTCCACTCCTTCTTCTCTTAAAAAGTTAAAGATGCGGGGCAGTGGTGTCGCACGCCTTTAATCCCTGCACCCAGAGGCAGGCAGATCTCTGTGAGTTCCAGGCCAGCCTGGCCTACAGAGCGAGTGCCAGGACAGACTCCAAAGCTACACCTGTCTCAGAAATCAACAAACAAACAACAACAACAAAAAGTTAAAGCCAAAAAGCCTATGGTAAGGCCTTCTTGATGATGGGTCAGTAAGTAAAGGTACTTACTGTGTATGTCTGGCAACCTGGGTTTGATTCCCAGGAGCCCACACAATAGTGGTGCATGCATGCGTACACACACACATACACCCAATAATAAATAAAAACCTAAAAACCCTTCTCTGTTTATCCCTTTGGACATAAAGCAGTCCAAAGCTGGATATTGCCATTTGCCGTTTACCTTGCCATTAGCTTTGCATGAAGTACTTTTTTGTTTGGTTTTGTGACTGTGCCTGTGTGTGTGTGCATGTGTATGTGGGTTTCTGTGTGTGTACGTGTGCATGTGTGTGTCTGTATATGTGTATTTCTGTGTGTGCGCATGTGTCTGTGTGTTTGTGTGTGTGTGTGTGCGCGCGCACATTCTCTCTCTCTCTCTCTCTCTCTCTCTCTCTCCCTCTCTCTCCCCCACTCCATCTCCCTCCCTCTCCACTCCTTCTTCTCCTCTCTCTCTCGCTCTCTCTCTCTCTCTCTCTCTCTCTGTGTGTGTGTGTGTGTGTGTGTGTGTGTGTGTGTGTGTGTGTGCATGTGTGTACCTGCGTGTCTGTGTCTTGAGGCTGGTGTCAGGTGCTTTCTTCTGTCCCTTTCAGTTGAACCCAGGGCTCGCTGTTTCAGCCAGTCCTGCTAGCCAGCTTGCTCCAGCCATTCCCCACCTCCCCATCCTTTGAATTTAGCCGACAGCTAGGCAGCCATGCCCTCCTATGAGTGGCAAGCACTTTGTTCAGTGGGCAATCTCTTTATGCCAGGGGCTCCCACCACCTGGCCATGCTGGGTGTGGTGGTTTGAAGAAGAATGGCCCCTGAGGCTCATGTATTTGAATGTTAGTTACCAGGGACTAGAAGTATTTGAAGGGATTAAAAGGATTAGGAGGTGTGGCCTTGCTGGAGGAAACTGAGTCTACATGTGAGCCACCATTCTTTCTGCCATGATGACAATGGACTAAGCCTCTGAAACTGTAAGCAAGCTCCTAATTAAATGCTTTCTTTTATAAGAGCTGCCGTGGTCCCAGACTGATAGCTGGGAAACCAGCATAGGACTGATCCAGACCC